CACCTATTAACTACCTCCGTTTGACCATCCGATTGAGGATGGTAAGCCGTACTGTGATGCAACGAGGTCCCCTGCAAACGAAAAAGCTCCTTCCAAAAATGACTGAGAAAAACCTTGTCGCGATCGGACACAATGGTTTGAGGGAACCCATGGAGCCTGACCACCTCTTTAACAAACAGTGCAGCCACCGATTTTGCCGAAAACGGATGACATAGGGCCAAAAAATGGGCATACTTACTAAGCCGGTCCACCACCACCAAAATGGAATCATGACCAACTGACTTTGGAAGACCCTCCACAAAATCCATGGAGATATCATCCCATACTAGGCTTGGAAGAGGTAACGGCTGCAGCAACCCTCCGGGAGATAAAGTAGAGGTCTTATTCTGCTGGCACACCAGACAAGCTGCCACCAAGGATAACACATCCCGCTTCATGCCATACCAGAAAAATTCAGAAGACAACCTTTTAAAGGTCTTCAATACCCCCGAGTGGCCCCCAATCTTACTACCATGAAACTCAGCCAATAGGACCGGTATGAGAGAAGAATGCCTGGGTAGGACCACCCGCCCCTTATACAACAACATGCCGTTACACAATGAAAAGCCTTTCACCGTTGCGGAATTAGCCACAAGAGCAGCTCGAATAGCGGCCAGCTGAGGGTCCTGGATTTGGTGACAAATTTAAGCCCCGTCATATACAGCCGAAGTGCTCATATGGGCCAGTTCCAACCCCGACGGCGGCCTAGATAGCGCATCAGCCACCCGATTTTCAGATCCCGGCTTGTATTGGATCTCAAAATCGTACCCCAACAACTTACACAACCACTTTTGGTGGTCCTCACTGATTAATCTCTGCTCTAACAAAAACTTTAGAGTCCTTTGATCCGTTCGAACAATGAAATGACGTACCAATAAGTAATGACGCCATTTCTGAATGGCGAGGACCACAGCCATGAGCTCACGCTCATAAACTGATTTCGTTCGAGCACGTGATGACAAAACTTGACTGAAGTAAGCAATGGGCCACTGATGTTGCATAAGGACTGCGCCAATCCCAAATCCGGACGCATCCGATTCTACTACAAATGGCTGGCCAAAATCAAGCAGTGCCAAAACCGGAACTGTGGTCATGGCCCGCTTCAATTTCTGAAAAGCGTCCTCCGCCTCGCTAGTCCAATGAAAGTTGTCTTTCTTTAGTTGTTGCGTAAGTGGCCAAGCAAGGTGCCCATATCCCGACACAAACCGCCGATAATAGCCCGTTAACCCCAAAAACCCCCGCAACTCCTTGATAGAACGAGGTGTAGGCCAATCTACCATTGCTTGAATCTTGCTCATATCTGCTGCCACCCCATTTCCCGAGACAATGTGGCCCAAATACTCCAACTTGCCACTAGCAAAAATACATTTTTTTTGGTTCACATATAAGTGATTGTCCTCCAAGGCAGACAAAACGACATCCAAATGGTTGATGTGGTCTTCAAGAGTTCGACTATAAACCAAAATGTCATCAAAGAATACCAAAACGAATTTCCGCAAAAAAAGGTTTCAATACCTCATTCATAAGGGATTGGAAAGTGGCTGGAGCGTTGGTTAACCCAAAGGGCATAACCAAAAACTCGTAATGTCCCTCATGCGTCCGAAAGGCTGTTTTCGGGATATCTTCTTTGCACATCCGAATTTGGTGATAACCGGATTTTAAATCCAATTTGGTAAAGATGGTGGCCCCACTCAATTCATCCAATAACTCTTCAATAACCGGAATGGGAAACTTATCGGGAACCGTAGCCTTGTTAAGTGCCCGATAATCCACACAAAATCTCCAACTCCCATCTTTTTTCTTTACTAAAAGAACTGGGCTGGAAAATGGGCTGCTACTTGGCTGTATAATACCCGCTGAAAGCATCTCCCTCGCCAATTTCTCAATCTCGTTCTTCTGAAAATGAGGGTACTTATAAGGCCGAACACTAATAGGGGCGGTACCCTCCTGAAGAATAATGCGATGATCCCGCATTCGTTGGGGAGGAAGCCCCTCTGGCATGTGTAAAACCTTCGAATGTCGCTGCAAGACCGCACTCACAGCCCCCTGGACTTGCTGATCCAATTCTCCCAATACCCCCAAATCCGGTCCATTGTTGGCATCCAAGGCACTTAGTTCTAAGTAGATGCCATGGCCCTCAAGCTTGATGGTCCTATACATGGCCTTAAGAGAGATAATTGCGGTGGAGAGACTCAAATCACCCCTCAATGTAACCGTCTCTCCTCTTTACCCTGACTTTCATAATCTGCGATTTCCAATTGACATGCACACCACCTACTGTTTCCAGCCATTGCATACCCAATATAACATCCACACCCCCCAATTCAAGCGGTAAGAAATTTTCCACTACGGTCAAGTGTGCTAATGTCAATGCTACCTCCTTGCATATTCCTTTCCCTTTTACTGACTCTCCCGTCCCCAATTGTACCCCAAACCCAGCAGTAGGTGCAATAGGAATCATAACTCTCTCCACAAAACTTAATGAAATGAAATTATGAGTTGCGCCGGAATCAATTAATACTATTACCTCTTGTTTAGCAATTGTGCCCCGGAGCTTCATTGTCTTTGGCGTCGAAAGTCCTACCACGGAGTTCAAAGACAACTAAATAAGTTCCGGCTGCCCCTCCTCCCAATCTGAGCATGGCAAATTTGGATCATCCTCTTCATAGTCAGTTGCATCCTCATCGCTAACCAACATTATCCGCAGCTCCTTACAACGATGGCCAAAGGTGAACTTCTCATCGCACCTAAAGCAAAGTCCTTTATCCCTCTTTTCCTGCAACTCAGAATCGGAAAGCTTACGGAATGGAAAATCCCTTCTTTGTGTTGCCGTTTTCTCTAGCAATGCAGGGTTCCGCTGTGGTCGGTCCACTACCGGCACCGTCCTAACCAAAGTTGGAGAAGACTCAGCCCTCGGAGTACTATGAAATTGTGGTCGGGAAAAACTGGCTTCAACCCTTTCCCTCCGCAGCAAATCATTCCTTTCCTCAATTCTCTGGGCAATCTCCATGATTTCCCCCAGCCCCACCGGTTTCAGGAGTCTCACCTCAGCCCGAATCGGTGCCTTGAGTCCATTAACAAAAATTCCCTCCAATTCCTCCTCCGGCACATCCCTTAATGGGGCCGCGGACACCTCAAATTGCCTACGGTATTCGGCTAACGTTCCCCCCTGCCTTCTTGCCAAAAACCTCTCGCAGAGATTGCCCTCTTGCGAGGAGCGGAATCTTTGCAACAAAGCGACCCTAAACTCCGACCAATTATGGAAAGGCCTACGGCCATTCTGCCATTGGAACCACGACAGGGCATCCCCCTCCAATGAAATTCCCGCTGTGATTAGCTTTTCCCTGTCCGAACACCGATTTATGGAAAAAAAAACTGTTCCATACGGAACAACCAACCATCTGGATCCTCTCCCCCAAATATAGGACACTCTACCTGTCTCCTACAAAGACCTGCCCAGTCTTCATTAATCGGCAACTCTTCTAACACCCCTCTACCCTCCCAGTTTTCTCTACCTCTATCTACCACGTTACTGTTCCGTCCCCTTTCTCCCCCTCAATGAACAAGCAACCCGGTCCCAATCCGCCGGTCATCAAATTCCAGACTCACCTTCCACGAACAAACCTCGCCCCTCACCCCGATGCCCGTTCCAATTTTTCCCTTGAGTGCCCAAGGGAGCTCCCCTCGCAAACCCTCGCCCATCCTCTCTTCCCTCGCGACCTAGATTTCGAAGATTCCTCCCCTCCATCGCGCGATCGACGCCCTGTTCTCGCCAACCAAAATCCCCCGCCGGACACATCACCTATTGCGTCACCCTAGGGTTAATCGATCTTTCCTCACCCAAGCGCATTTCCACTCGCTCGCCAGCACGATTTGCCTCGCGAGCCTCTCCGGCACGAATACCTACGCGATCTCCGTCGCGATTCGCATCACGATCATCGGCGGCGCGATCGGGTCCGCGATCGCCTACGCGATTCAACTCGCGACCTTCTCCGGCACGATTTAGTCCGTGATCCATCGCGGCGGTAGTCGCAACCGTCTTCTCCGGCGCCGACGTGGCCGATGAAAGGAGTTTCATCTGTTCCTCCATTAACCGGCGAATCTCGGACATATCTGTCCTATTCTAAGACAATTCCACCCTAACTTCTCCGAGACCTTTCTCCATGTCGCCCATTCCCTTCTCCATGGAAACCCTAACTTCCTTGATCTCTTTCTCCACCAACTCGAACCTCTCATCTGTTTTCCTAGCCGCCATATCTGCCAGAATCTACGCTCTGATACCAAATTGATAAGTACAGAGTAGTTCTTCCACTGAAAATGAATCAAGAAGAATGAAAGATGGAATCTTTATTGATTAACAAATTGAACTACAGACTCAACGAAGGACTCTCTCTCCTGTGCTCAGCCTCAGCCAAGTCTTTCTTTTCAACTCCAGTCATTTCCTACCACTCTGATCCAACTCTGGCCTATTAATACCTCTCTACATTACACACGATAGACCCCAGTACACCTCCGCACTGTACAGAAACCCCACTAACTAACACTAACAATACTAATAACTCCACGTCACCCTTTATTACCCCTCCTCACATACACCTGTCTCGGCTTATCACTCTTATCAACAAATAGGCTAAATCAGACACTTGGAATTCTATAGTTCATTAACTTCCTAATTCGGGTTCTTTCAAGCTCCTCTGTTCCTTTACAAGTTCAACTCATAGTGGTCCTTTTGTTCGTTATAATCTCTTGTCACAATTTGCAATCGGACACATTATTTGATTATTGAGCTGTAAATAGTCAGATTTAAAGCACACTGGCGTCACGTAGACTTGCAAATTACACCCCTACATGACTATCAGTTGGACCTATTTGTCCTGATTTTCTAACCTTTTGGGAACCAAACCAAGTTTAAATGTGGAACCATTTTCGCCAATAACATCAATATCTTACCTCAAGTTTTTCCTGCCTCTCTACAAGCTTATTTCTTGCATTTGCAGCCACTGAAGAAGCATCCTGAAATAGTTTTTTACCACATTGCATTAAGCTAAAGAGCTATAACTTCTTTCATTACTACTAAAAACATCATCTACATTACCCTAGCTTTGCCATAGGCAGCCCTAATTTCTTGAGGAGTTCTCAATCTGGGCTTCACATCATCTGTACCACCTTCAAACAGTCTTTCCCTTTCGGATCCCTTTTCTGCAAAGAAGTACACTAGTTTACATTTGAACTTAAATGCGTTGCAGCGGGTTTATAAACGCTGCAGCGGACAAACTGCACAAAATTGTGCAGTTTGGTTTGGCCAATATTTCGGCTGCAACCAAAATATTTCCGCTGCAGCCGAAATGTTTGCGCTGCAGCGGAAAACTTCGCACTGCAGTGCCCCTTTCAGGCCTCTCAGGTCCATTTGCACGCTGCAGCGGAAATTCTACAGAAAAATAGTGTTTTCATGAGGTTATGTGATCTGAAACGTCTTGAATCATTACATCCATTGGTGATATATTACCAATTTCACCCGCTGGAAGGGAAAGTTGTTCTTCCTTCTCACCGTGCTCAAGATCACCTACGTGCTTGATCCGAAATTAGAGCCACTTCCGGAACCAAAGGAGGATGATTCCGATGAATTTAAGGCTGCAAGGAAGAGGCGCGAAGATGATGAGGTTATGTGCCAGGGTCATATTCTCAACACACTCTCCAATAGGCTCTACGATCTCTACAACTCAATGGAGTCTCCGGTGGAGATTTGGAACGCTCTTGAATACAAATATAAACCTGAGAAGGAAGGTACAGACATTTTCTCATCTTAAAATATCTTGAATTTGTCATGGTTGATACAAAGTCCGTCCTAGATCAAATACATGAATTGCAAGTCATTGTTACTAAGCTTTGTGAATTGAAAGTTAAAATTTCTAAATCATTCCAAGTGGCAGCAATTATTGCTAAATTGTCTCAAAGTTGGAATGGTTATACAAAGAAACTCCTTCATAGGAGAAATGACATAACTTTGAAGGAATTACAAAAACACTTGAGGATCAAAGAAGAGACTAAGTCTCGTAATCCCAAGAGCAAGATTATAAATTCCTTTAAGCTTAATGTTGCCGAAGCTAGTAAGTTTTCCAATAACTTCAAAGTCAATAATGACAAGAAGTTCAAAAAGCCAGTAATGGCCAAAAGAAATTTTCTGAAAATTGTTTCTTTTGTGGAAAGAAAGACCATCGCCAAAATGACTGCAGATACAAGAAGAAAAAAATAAGTTAACACCAACAAGGCCAATACTGTTGATGAAAAATCCAAAGACATGCGCTATGGTCTCAGAGATGCAAATTGGCATGATTACCGAAACCAACATGGTTGCGACTAAATCCTCCGAATGGTGGCTTAATTCCGGTGCCACAATCCACGTTTGTAATGACAAGAAATTATTCTCATCATACAAAGTAGAAAAGGAAGGACAAACGGTTCTCATGGGGAACAATGATGCAACGATGGTTGTTGGGAGAGGTATGGTGGAGATCAACTTTACTTCTGGAAAGAAGCTTTCTTTGAACAATGTACTTCATGTTTCTGATATTAGGAAAAATCTTATATCCGCTAGTCTAATGTGTAAGAATGGGCTTAAGATTGTACTTGAGGGCAATAATTGTATTGCATCTAAGAATGGGATCTTTGTGGGAAAGGATACTCTTGTGATGACATGTACAAACTTAGCATTAATAATAAAGATGATACGAATTCTCTTTATATTGTTGACTCTTTTGATGTTTGACATGCATATTTAGCACACTTAAATTTTAGATCTTTGAAATATATGCCTAAACATGGTTTGATTAATTGCAAAGATGTTAAAAATGATAAGTGTGAAATTTACATACAAGCGAAGATGACTAAGAAATCCTTTCCTAGTGCCGAACGAAATACTCAAATATTAGATATGATGATTCATACCGATATTTGTGAGTATAATAGTATTTTGACAGGAGGAAAGAGATACTTTATCACTTTCATTGATGATTGTTCTAGATACACTTATGTGTACTTAGAACAAAAAGATGAAACCTTTGATAAATTTAAAATTTATAAGCCTGAAGTTGAGAACCAAAAAGATAAGAAGATCAAAATGGTTCAAAGTGATAGAGGTGTTGAATATTTCTCAAATGAATTTAATGACTTCTGTGAAGAGCATAATATTATTCACCAAAGGTCAACCCCTTTCACTCCTCAACAAAATGGATTGGCTGAAAAAAAGAATAGGATTTTTACTGATATGATTAACTATATGTTTCTTAATGCTAAATTGCCTAATAATTTGTGGGGGAAAGCTTTATTTACTGCATGTCATGTTCATAATAGAATTACATCCATGAAAACACATGTATCTCCATATGAAGTATGGAAAGAAAGAAAAGCAAACCTTGATGTATTTAAGGGTGTGGGGCTGTCTAGCCTTGTATAGAGTGATTGACCCTAAATCATCAAAGTTAGGTGCTAAAGGAATTAAAAGTGTTTTCGTAGGATATGCTAAAAATTTCAAAGCATATAGATTATTGAACCTAGATTCTAATGTGATTGTAGAATCAAGAGATGTTGAATTTATTGAGAATAAGTTTAGCCTTGATTCTTCCACTGAATTAGAATCTAATGTTGGTCAACAATGCGTTGATACTCTCGGTACTTCCACTAATAAAAGTGTGCTCAGGGTTTAGGAGAGAAACCGAAAAACACTGCTCTTTCTTATTATTCAGAAAACGTATTTACAGACCAATATATACAGCTTTCTAGTCTAACTAAATCTAACTATTCTAGGAAAAGAAAAGAAATCAAATCAGCTATTCTATTGGAGAATCTCGTGGGAGATCTCAACTAATTTAAAATAGGAAGTCAAACCAAATAATATAAAATCTAAACAAACCTAATCCCCTAGAATCCGAGATATCCTGATTTTCTACACTCCCCCTCAAGCTAGACTGAAAACATTAAACATTCCCAGCTTGTCAACTAATTTCTCGAACATGGGTCTTCCAAGTCCCTTGGTCAGCAAATCAGCAACTTGGTCTGCAGTGGGAAAATAAGTCATGCAAATGATTCCTTCCTCAATCTTCTCTTTAATAAAGTGCCGGTCAACTTCGACATGTTTAGTCCGGTTATGCTGAATTGGATTGTGAGAGATGTTGATAGCAGTTTTGTTATCACAGTAAATCTTTAAGGGTTTACTGTACACAATTTTTAGTTTCTCCAGTAACATTTTTAGCCACAAAAGTTCACAAATTCCATGTGCTATCGCTCTAAACTCTGCTTCTGCACTACTTCTAGCCACCACAGTTTGTTTCTTGCTTCTCCAAATTACTAAGTTACCCCACACAAAGGTGCAACACCCTGAGGTTGGTCTCCGATCACTAATAGAACATGCCCAGTCAGCATCTGTGAAAGCTTCTATATTTCTTGCTTCATTTTTCTTAAAAAATAAACCTCTTCCAAGAGTCCCTTTGGGATGTTTCAGAATCCGATGTACTGCTTCCATATGCTCCTCGTATGGTGCTTGCATGAACTGACTCACAACACTAACAGCATATGCTATATCTGGCCTCGTATGAGAGAGATAGATAAGTCTTCCAACTAACCGCTGATATCTTCCTTTATCCATTGGGCTGCTGGTCACTTGTCCTCCTAGCTTGATGTTAGGATCCATTGGTGTGTCAACCGGTTTACATCCTAACATTCCCGTTTCCTTTAGAAGATCCAAGGTGTATTTTCTTTGGGAAATAGAAATACCACTTCGGTTTCTTGCAATTTCCATCCTAAGGAAATACCGCATAGCTCCTAAGTCTTTGATCTCGAATTCAATTGCAAGTTTCTTCTTTAAGTTTTCCATCTCCACGTCATCATCTCCTGTTAATATGATATCATCAACATAAACAATAAGGATTGTAATCTTACCATCCTTATGTTTGTGGAATAAGGTGTGATCCGTCTGAGCCTGTTTGTATCCCAGTTGTCTGATTGCATTTGAGAATCTGTCGAACCACGCCCTCGGAGACTGCTTGAGTCCGTAGAGAGATTTTTTGAGCTTGCAAACCTCTATGTCTCTGGTTTCATCAAATCCAGGTGGTAAATCCATATAGACTTCTTCCTCCAGATCTCCGTTAAGGAATGCATTTTTAACATCAAGTTGTTGAAGTTTCCAATCCAAGTTTGCCGCCATGGATAACAGTACTCGGATTGTGTTCAATTTGGCAACGGGAGCAAATGTTTCTTGATAATCGACGCCATAGGTTTGAGTAAAACCTTTTGCCACTAACATGGCTTTGTAGCGTTCAATGGATCCATCCGAGTTGTATTTAATGGTGAACACCCATTTACATCCTACTGATTTCTTTCCTCTGGGTCTCTCTATCACCTCCCATGTATCATTTCTTTCTAGGGCCTTCATTTCCTCCATTACTGCCTTTTTCCATTCTGGAATCTTCAAAGCCTCATGCACGGTTTTTGGAACCTCCATGGCTGAAAGATTAGCTACAAAATGTCAAAATGTTGATGACAAGTGATCATAGGAGATAAAATTAGATATTGGATGTTGGGTACATGATCTGACACCTTTTCTCATTGCTATGGGCACATCAAGATCTTTTGTTTTTGAGCCAGGATTTAAAGGCTATGTACCTGAAGACAGGTCAGAGTCTTGACCCTGCTAAAGAATCACGGGATTTTCCACTCTTTTTGAATTCTTTTTCCGTGAATATAACAATAATTCTTTTTGATCCTGCTCCTGTAATTCTCCCCCTGTCGTTGGGTTTGTATCAATGTTTGAGGGCACCATTGGCTCGGGCTCGGAAAGACTTTAGTCTTGGGTGAAGGTTGGGTTCGGACTCTCTTGAGGTAACGTCTGGGGTAATGGCAGATTTGTGGAGGGATTGGTTGGATAATCTTGTGCTAATATTTTCCAAAAATTATCTTCACTATGAGGTGATGATTGCTCCCCCTGAAGAGAATTTTTAGTATAATAAGCCTGATTTTCGAAAAAAGTGACATCTATAGACACAAAGTATCTCCTCTTTTCTGGACTATAACACTTATACCATTTGTGTGTTGCTGAGTAACCTAGAAAGATACACTTAAGTGCTTTGGGATCTAGTTTGTTACGTGTTGGGTCATGAATATGGACGAATGAGGTGCAACCAAAAATTTTAAAAGGTAGGGA